TAAATGACACATATGAAATATAAGAGTACACGTACTTACCGATTCCATTTTGTCCCACCACTCCTCAGGTGCCTAAAATATACCGGTGTCACAGTCAAACCCTATCCCTGACACTTCTTTGCTTGAATCCATCAACTTTGTCCACGCTTGCCACTTTTTTTTCAGACCCATGTTCTTATTCTTCAACTGTTTGAGTCCATGTTTTCTTCTTGTTTTTCTCTCAAATTTTCTTGCCAATGACTTGTACCTTGCTTAGCTGAAGACTAGGAATGGGCGATTGCCTTTAGTTATCTCATTTGCAATCAACTGCAGGAAAACTCGGATTGAGGCACTGTCCCATGTGGCCTTGTGGCTTAAATGATTGTGTGTATCTTCAAGACTGCTTGACTTGTCAGTGACAACGCCTTTGCTTTTGGATTGGGTACGCGGAGAAGTACGTATGGAAGCCATTACTAATGTTCAGTTACAAAAGATTACCATCACACAAACGGCTGTTATATACAAACTCATAAGCCATTACACATTAATAACAAAGAAACAAAGAGATAGGATGCTAAATTACCCAGTATATAACCATTGCACATTAATTTTATACTACCACAGGTTCCATAGAAGTTAGTATTGCACATAGTTATGATAGTCATTAATACGTCTACCGTTTCGAAACTACCAACATAGTAACGTGTTTGTACATACTATTGTATATACTACCAATAAACTACCAACATAGTAACGTGTTTGTACATGCTGAAACATCGTAACGTTGCTTACATACGGAACAACAAAATGACAACGACAATGCATAACACATACATGATGGTCTTAAGAACACGCAGGGATTGTTGAATGTCTATGACATCAGCCCGCAATTGCATGACAAATTCATCCTTGGGTGACGCATAGTCTTGGTTATCTCACCTGGGTTTATCGCATCACCAATCCAACTGACAAAGGGCTGATGAGTGCAAATTATGGAACTATTAGTTTCATGGGTTGTTAAAGAAGGACAGTTATGACCTAAAAGAATGGGTCACTCACCAAAAGGCGGGGACATGCAAAGTAGGGACGCCTTGGATTTTTGGTGGACCTGAAAATCTTAACAACACAGGGGCCATGTCCACAGGCACACATTCGTGGCCATGTACTGGAAGTTGAAGTAGAGGTAAACAAAGCCATGCTACGCTTTACAAACAATAGGCATTTTTTTTTTAATGTACATGAATGAACAACAAAACATACACAGAGAAACAAAATAAAAGTTTTTGATTCCGATCATGGACACTTAAGTATGATAAGGGTATTGTGCATCTTCAATCGGTAGTACATTGGTAGGAGTAGTTACCGACCTATGTGCACTTGCACAGAGCTATGTTGTAACCACATACATATTTTATTGTAATTATGCACATTATTATTACTAGACTAGTAAAATATGTAAAATTATTGTCACTTGTTTGACTCAAGTGTTTGACAATACTAAAAAAATATATATAACATGCAAGATTGTATTTATTTTTAACATTGGAGATGAAAGTATAACACAATTGACATGCACATGAAAAATGGACATACTTATTTGGTAAAAATATTTCGTAACCTGAACTCGTGATTTCATTACAAGTCAATAGGTATTTCATACAATCAGACATGCATTCGCAGTGGTCATTCACAATACCAATAGCAACTGGGTAGAGACTAGCTGCTGAATTTATGTATACATTAATTTGATAACTCAGAATTCATTCAGGTACTGAATTCGTAACATTTGAAATGCATTGACAAGAATTAGAGTGTTTTATCACAGTGTTTTACCATAATCAGAAATGCATTGACAATACCGTAAGTGCATTCACAGTGCTCATTCAGAATTAATAATAAAATGAGAAACATATTCACTTGGGGAGTAAACTTGAATAACTGAAGTACAAATTTTATTGTGTAATTTTGTCTGAACATTGTTGGTAAACATTACCTTCGTATAAAAATTTATGAATGAGTATATTTAATACTTTTTAAAAATATTAACAAATTTATTACTGTATCTGAATATAATTAAAAAAATGTAAATTACAATGTGAATATTTATTCATTAAGAACAGAATCTGAAAAAAAAAATATTTACTTACAGAAAAATGTTAATTAATAAAGAACAAATATTTATTTATACGAAGATAATATGCAACAAAAAAATGTAAATTTTTTTGTTAATATTTATTCATTAAATTTTTTTGTTAATTTACAAAAAAATGTATATTAATTTTCATTTTCTTTTGTTCGTTAATTAATTTTTGTACTTATCAGAAAAGTATTAAATTGTAAGTATTTATTTACTTGGTGAAAATGTAAACATAATTTTATAATATTTATAAATGAAGAACAGATTTTGGGGGAGGAAAAAAATTGGAAGAATCAACCATGTTTGAGGGTTATTCTATATATGGGTTTGTTTTGCCCAAATTTGGAGTATCATAACAACTGAAATAACAAATTTCGAACTGGCTTAAAAATTAACAAGAAAAAAATGTGAATATAGCCAGATCGGACTTTCTACAACGAAATACCATCAATACAGCCCAAAATACAGTGCGATCTGAAGTGGCAGAAGGAAAAAAGTAGAAAAAAATAAAATCATTCCATTCATAAAGTATTGGGCATTAAGATCTACGAAATCAGAATGGGTTTGGAAGAGTTACCACTTAATCGGTGGTGTATCGGACAGGGTTCGGTCTTGTTCTCCTCCGCCAGAAGCCTACTCCGGTGCCGATCGCCTCTGCGAAGCCGTATTTTGATGTCGTCGCCGCTGGTTGGGAGAGATCGCCTCGTTCGCTTCTTCCGTGCCCTAAGACCGTTGGGTTGTGTTGTGTGTGTATGGTGAGGCGTTGGACGAAATGAACAAAGGAAAGGAGATGTGAGGGTAATTTGGTCAATTTACCCATAGAAGGGTTCTTCTCCAACCCTAGCAAGCGTTTTTGGCCTCATGTGGCTAAATGAGGCTGTTTTGTCGCATGTGGCTCATATAGCCTGATGAGCCATTCCCAAATACACGCTGAGCTGAAACTCAATAAACAAACTCAATAAATAAATAAGTCGAGCTCACGTTCAATAAAACTCGATTTGACTCAATTCGTTTACAATCTTACAAACCTGACATAAACCCAACAAATGCTTAAAAGGTTCCTAATAAATACACGAGTTAAATTTTAAATTCCTTTAAAAATTATTATTCTAAATATTTAATTTTTCCAATGACAACAAAACAAAAAAACTACTTTCCAATATAAATTAATCATAAAAAGATAACTATTAATTTGCTTCAAGCAAGAATTTAAATTAAGGGAAATTGACCAGTAAATCCCATATTGTGGACTTGTAATCCATAAGGTCCTGAATGTTTTCTTAGTGACTGGGTGGTCCCTTAATTTGTTTGTTGACAGTTTTGCCATTACTAGTATTATTGATTGACATTTGGTGTGGGTTTGTATGTGACAAGGTGAATGGGTGTTTGTATGTCACGCTGATCGAAAAAGTACACTAATGCTTTTTATAATTTAGTAAGTGTGTAACACTCAAACACATGAGACGTGGGTGTGACGTGAACACAAGTAATTTGAAATATTTTTTTTGTTTTTTTTTTTGTGACGTGGGTTGTGACGTGAACACAATTAATTTGACATAAATTTTTTTTTTTTCTTGTGACGTGAACTAAGTAATTTGACATAGTTTGACATGAGCAATTTGACACTAGTAATTGTGTCACGTTCTTTATTTTTTTGACATTAAGTAATTTGACGTGAACTACTTTATTGTAAGACATTCTTTATTTTTTGCAATTTTTACTGTCTTTTTCCTTTCTATTCTTATTTGCAGTTAATGATCCCTACGTTATGAAGGCATGGGAAAAAACTTACCCAGAAAACAAGCACGTCAAGTTCCTAGGCGATGGCTCAGCAAAGTACACCCAAACTCTTGGCCTTGGGCTCGATGTTTCGCAGGGAGGGTTAGGCATTCGATGCTGGAGGTTCGCTCTCTTGCTCGATGACCTCAAAGTGAAGGTTCAGTCACAACCCTGGGGAAGACCCGATTCCCACGTTCTCCAATTCTCCACCGCCACCGCAGCCTCCGTCGCCGTCTTCTCTTTCTCCAGCATACCCAGCAACGGTTCAGTCACAACCCCCTCGTGGTCCGAACTTTATTCGGAATTAGATCGAATCCATTTCTGGGTTGCGATGTACAGTGGGATTGAAATTAGAGAACTTGGGTCAACAAACGTGGATCAGCAAACGTGGGTCAGCAAACGTGGATTAGCCAACCAGCACTGCAGTGTTCATCCATGTTCAAAACATGAGACCGAAATTACCAAACGTGGATCAGGTATCCCACAAAATCTGCATTCAATCCCAAAATAAACCTATATAGAAAAAAAAACAAAAAAGGGCAAATATGTCCACACCCATATCACATAAATACAAAATGGGACTTAACTGTCCACAAAATATGTCAAACAGGACTTGTCAATCCAAAAGAATGAATGTGGGATCAAATGGAGTAATAGATTGATAAATAGGACTTTCTGATAATTTCCCCTTAAATTAATCATCCGGTGACCATACATATTCACTACAAAAATAGTTTATAAATGAAAAGGAAAAAACCACTCAATACAACAAAAATACCTTTATAAAAATGTAAAGGTGAAAACTAAGCTAGTGACAAAAATCTTAAAAAGATAGGAATATCAATATGCAATTTTTAAAAATAAATTAAATTAATGATTATGGATTATCTATTGAAATCGAATTTTTTTTTGAAAATCGTTTCCTTATAGCATAATTAAATTTGTCTTTCTTCCTCTAATATAAAGTCAACCCCAAAAAAATCAAAGTCATACCCACTTTCCGCTTCCGCATCATAGAACGTTGGATTAATTAATTTTATAATCTCTCTCATTTTCATTGTTTGTTATAATTATTTTATTTAATTTTTGTCCAACGAAAAAGCGTTAAACAGAGATTAGTAATTGTTTGAACAACAGCAAATCGGTCCAAATCAACTCAGATTTCTCTATCTCTCTCTGTCGTCTTCCTGTTTCTCTCTCTAGGTTTTCGTTTTTGGTTGAAAGCGTACACCACTCTCGCTCTAGGGTTTTCATTTTTTTTTGGTGTTGATAAAGATCATACAACGCGTTCGATTTCTCTGTATTCATTCATCTTTGAGAAGAAGAAGAAGAAGAAGAAGAAGAAGATGAGAACTTCATTGAAGAAGCTACGAGGATTCGCGCTTCACAGGCATGGCGATGGCAGGGGGGACAGAAGAGACCGTCGTCTTCAACAATCTATGGCCCAGTTGGACGAGCTTTCCCGTGCTTCCCAGGTATAATTCAATTCTTTCACCCCCTCTGTTTGTTTGCCAAGAAAATGCAAGCGGAAATGAAAATTGAGAAAATTTAAAATTTCAATCTTCTGTAACTACTTATTTTATTTTATTTTTTTCGTTCTTGAATTTTTGTTTCTGCGCTGATCAATCTATTTGTTTATTGTGGCCGGAAACTTGAATGAGTTTGAATTTGACTCTGAAAAGCGAAGGAAAAGGATTCTGAATTTTTGGGTTTTGACTGAAATCTGTGATTCTTCATGAAGATGTGAAATACCGGTCTGATTTTGAACTTGACTTTATGCTGGATGATCATCTTTTCATTTTTACTGCACTCTGGTGGGATTCATTATGTCATGTCATGTGTACTTCAGAATGGTTTTTTATTTTTTATTTTTCTCTCTCTTGGTCTTTATCCTGGAAATATAGTTAAACTTTGTGCTTGATGTTAGTTATCCAAGAGAATTCTTCGATTTTGTTGGTATTTAATTGAGCTTCATTGAGGATTTAATGACAGGATTGTATTTCTGTTAAATACTAAACATGGTTACAGTTACCGTACAGTGTAAATCTAGGTTCCAAAATGTTGTGGCCTAGTGGAAGCTTGGGTATTACTATGGAGTAGCTACCACAGCTCAGACCTCGTTGTCTACTGCAGAAAAAAAGAGAGGCTTCAAGTGAAAAATTGCGACATTACATATGACATTTACAAGGATAATCATGAATACTCCTTAGTCTTCGTGCCTATACCGCAAACCTTCGAGTGGTGAAAACCGTGGAATTGTGGTTTCAAAGGAACAAACTACTGGTGTTCTTTTGGCATGCTTTATGAAAACTGTATGTGGCATCTTATGTTTTGCAAAGAATAAAAGAAAGAAGAAAACAAGAGAATTGTTAAAACTGACAATAATTCGCTGTTTAATAGCCATACCATCCTCTTACAAACATGAGCTGGCACCTTTCCCTTAGGTTTCGTGAGGATATAGGAAAATGATGTTGAAGTACAATAAAAGAAAAGGAAAATAATAATAATAATAATAATAATTAGTTTTTCGACATGCGTTTGGTAAACGGTGAGGTTCATAAAAGAATAAAACTTTTCCCATGCTGCAAGTTTTATATAAAATGCAAGACAAGATTTGAGGGAAAGTATTTCCCTCAAGAAAATGGTTTTGGTAAGAGCCACACTTTTGTGTGACAACCAAACACACACATGAAGGAACATGACAGGTGCAAGAATTAATTGACTGATTTTGTGATGACATCCTACATCATTAATGCATCCCATCTTTCTCAAATTGGCACTTGAAAGGGAAGAACACATAGAAATCCATTTGGCTTAAGATTTAACCATCTTCCAAGTGGAGCTTTTTCTTCAATTAACACATGTATGTGTAGTTAGATTTTAGATTAAATAATGTATGAAGGGATGCATGCCTTCAACTAGGTGAATGTGAAAAAGATGTGCGTTATTAAAATGGTAGGTAGGTGGCTATTGTGGTAGTTGCATTAATGCAAAGTTGCTAAAAGGTGGCAATCATGGTTGTTAGAATTTTATGAATCACGATTCGATTCATACAATTTGATATGAGTTTCAAGAAAAACGATTCGATTTGTGCAGATGAATTTGAAATTGAGTGAATCTTACGATTTAGTTGCAATTCACTGCGATTCATTAAAATTCACTGCGATTCAAGTGATTCAGTTTTGTGGGATGCTTGTAATGAAGGGGGGCATCGATAATAGCAACGTGATGGTGGTCCAAAAGAGTTGTCTTAGTATTGCTCTTGTTTTAATGTCATGCCAATATGGTTTGAAAAGTACATTCAATTCCCTTTCCTGACATCTTCATGTCTTGAGAAGTTCGTAAATGTGTTTATCTGCACTATCTGGCCTATATGTTTTTATTATCTAGGTTTCTCTGAGGGTTTGTCAATCAAATTCTATACTTAATTTGGCTTTATTTTTTGCAGGACATGCTAGACATGAGAGACTGCTATGATAGCTTGCTTTCTGCTGCAGCAGCGACAGCAAACAGTGCATATGGTATTTACTTGATTGAATTTTTATTTCAATTTCTTATCTTTTCTGAATCGAATGTTTTGTCGATTGGATATTTTGATGCTGTCAACCTTCATAACTTTGTAGATTGAGTCCACTCCATGGAGTATGGGTTTTGGTTCCTATGTAGTTAGAAAAATTTCTAGGTTAGTCTATTCTTATTTATCAAAAAAACATTCTAGGTTAGTCTAAGGTTATGGCTCCAGTGGTTTAAGTACTGGGTTTACTGTTTGCTTACTATGTTTCACTAATATTGCTTGCTATTCACTAACTATGCCTTTCCAAATTTTTAAGCCCTTGGCTCCGTGTAATAGGGCCTGGAATAGCGCTTTATGATTCCTCTGCTAGTGTTTCTCCTACTGCAAGATCCACATAACATGGAGTAAATAAATAAAAACACAAGTGTGTATGCCATACCGTAATCCTAGTTACTTGAAAAAGAACCACTGCCTACATATTTCAACATCAAGTGTATGTTACCAATAATTAAAATTCAGGAGAAGATACCTTTAAATTTGTTGAAGCTTTTCATCTATCATCATGTGAAGGAAATGTGCTGCTTAATTCAGTCCATTTTATGGTGGTTTTCTCAGTATTTAAATTTAGCAGTTAACTAGGTCAGATGATCAAGATCAAGACCAAGTCATTACTAGAAGCAATTGGGCAGAATCTTGATGAGTTGTGTCAAGTGAGACCAAATCAAAACCAAAAGTAATTGCCTTGAGTTGACAATTGGGGCAGATTCTTGATGAGTTGTGACAGATATTATAATTGTCCAAAACCATGCATTTCTGATGAGTGAAGTTGAAACATAATTTTGCTATTCTTCTTGATGGAAGTAACATTTTTTGCAAGTAGTTTGTTGGGATTGCTTGGAGTACTGAACTTATGAAAGCAGTAACTTAACCTGATGACTCTACCTGTTTGACCCTTTAACTTTGCAGTCTTTTTGATGGTTGAATATTGCTTTAGTGTGATAATTTAACTGAAACTTACCTTTATCAAATGTTTTCTTATTGGTTGCTTTTTGGGTATAAGATCTGATGAATCATCTCCACTTATTTCAGAATTCTCCGAGTCATTAAGGGAAATGGGTGCTTGTCTTCTTGAGAAGACTGCATTGAATGATGATGAAGAAAGTGGTAAGTGAATGAAAGTTATTTGGTGTGTTTACTTTCACTGGGATTATTTGTAGAAGTTATCAGTGTTTAATAGTTTTTTTTAAAGAATTTTTTTAATGCATCTATATATTTTTGGGGGAAGCACAAAAATAAAGTGTGCAAGTTTATAGTTGCATGCAAGTCTATAGATTTGGGCTTACAAAAATGCACGGTTTATTATGCACCCTTGTTGAAATGAGTTAGACACTATATGTAGAATTTAAACCATGTCTCTGGCTTTTGTTCTACTTTGACTATTTGTCATGAGGGACACACAATTTTCCTTTTCTTTTTTGAGATAATTGAGAAAATATATTTGGAAAACCTATATTTTACATATACTTTATGTTTTTGGTTTCATGTGATAAGAGTGATGACTGATTTAAGTTACTATGATTTGCATGACCATTTCTTTTAAAGCTATGGGCATCCATATGTGAACTTACCTAATTTGTTTTTAAAATTTTTATTTTCTGGGCGATGGAAGCAGATGTAGGTGAATATTTATGTTAATTTATCATTTTGTAAAATGTATAAAGAATGCAAAATTGAAATGCTGGAAATTTGGTACTTATTTTTTCCCTGGAAGAGACTTAGTTGCACTTACATACTGGTCCAACAATGGACAATTGGTTTTGGTGTCTCATATAATTGTTTCATATTTAGTTATTAATTTATTTTGATTTGTGCTGTTTTTGTTCTTATGCAGGTAAAGTTTTGATAATGCTGGGAAAAGTGCAGTTTGAACTTCAGAGGCTTGTTGACAATTATGTAGGTCATTAATCATTATATTGTAAACCATTTCTGAATCCTTTCCTTGTTATGCCTTGGTAATGATAAAATTTTGTTGAATTTCTATTACAGCGTTCTCATATTGTCAAGACAATCACGAGCCCATCAGAGTCTCTTCTTAATGAACTTCGAATAGTTGAGGTTTGTTCTTATTTACTATTTCATGTAATCAGCATTTGCCAAGTGTTATTGATGTAATAATGTTATTGCACTGTGCATAAATTTTCATCTCATTGTTAGTTATTCAGTTTTAGATGTTTTATGCTCCCTCTACCCATAATTGTTAGTTCTTTCCAATTTTGCATGTCCCTAAATATTAGTCAAAGTATAAAATTCTAACTTTGCCATGCATTTAAAAGCGGGGAAAGGGTAGTCTTGAAAACCAATACCTTTTCATTTGACTTTAAAAACGTTAAATGCTTTGTTCCTTTAAAGTTGGACTTTCTAAGATGGGCAAACTGGGAGTCTGGGACAGAGGTAGTAACTTCATTATATATATATGTGTGTGTATTGCTGATTTTCATTTTGTTACATTATGAATCCCAATTATCCAATCCTGATTTTTTGTATAGAAATTTTTCTGACTGAGTTCTCCGAACATGTGGCATGTTACCAGCTGCCATATTTGTTTTTCAATTTTTTTCAATTGAAAATAAGAAACTGACACAGAGAGCTATTTCCTGATTGACTTTGTGAAATGATGTGAGCTTTGTTGAGTTGCTTAGAGGATAACCATTGAGCAAAGAAAGAAATTTCAGCATAATCTTTTTGTAGGTGATGACTGGATAATAAATTTTGTTGATTTTTAATATTTAAGTAGCAGGGCAATGGAAAATAACTAGATGGGACATCAAAAAGCAGCATGACCTGGTGTTTGAACTTTATACTAGATTGACCAACTCTGTGAAATGAAAAATTGCAAGGAACCATGGGGTCATTTATGCTCCTCTCCCAGGACAAGTGAGCTTACCTTATTACTAGTTGAGGACAAAAGCCTTGAGAAGTGTTTTTTTTCCCCCTTACTATATTTAAACAATAGTTGGTTTTTATTTTGGTTTTATGACTTTAAAACATCCATTGGAGATTTTCATATTGGATTTACTGCTTCTATGTATATGTCACATCTATATGGTAAACTAAGCATTTTATAATAGTAATAGTCGAAGTGGTTCTTCCTTTTCTGTTGGTGCAGGAGATGAAGTGTCAGTGTGATGAGAGAAGGTCCGACTTTATTTGTGTAATTATTATATTTATTTATTTTACTTCTTGAAATGAATGTACTCTAACATTGGATACATGCTGCCAGAAGTGTATATGAATATATGATAACAAAACAAAGAGAAAAGGGGAGGGCGAGAAGCAGTAAAGGTGAAACTTTTTCTCCTCGGGAGTTGCAAGCTGCTCATGATGACTTTGATGAGGAGGCAACTTTATTTGTATTCCGTATGAAATCTCTGAAGCAAGGACAGTCCCGAAGTCTTCTTACCCAGGCAGCTCGGCACCATGCTGCTCAGGTTTTCTTTGCTTAATTCTTTATAATTTAGCGCCAGACATTCTTGCTGGGTGACCAATGATATGCTTGTTTTCGTGCTTGAAAACAGTTGTGCTTCTTCAGGAAGGCCCTCAAATCTCTTGAAACAATTGAACCACATGTCAAGTCGGTCACTGAAGAACAACATATTGATTACCAGTTCAGTGGACTTGAAGATGATGATGGGGATGATGCTGACAGTGATGATAGTGATTATGATGATGATGATGATGATGATGACACTGAAGACGGAAACCATAGTGGGCATGGTGATGGTGAATTAAGTTTTGACTATGGAGAAATTGACCAGGGGAAAAATCTTGTTTCTACACCGAGAGACTCAATGGAGGTGAGAATTTAATATGTTCTTAAAACTGAGAAAGATCAAATCCTTTTTCTTTTTTAATAGAAAATTGAAATGTGACAATTGTCAATTACCTGGCTAACTTAAGTTAGGGCAACCAAATAAAAAGAAATGGACTCGGTTAACTGAGCTGAATTCGATTGGCCCAATAATGAACTGACATGTAGCAATCTTGGTGACACGGTAGTGCCGATATTCTTATGCTGTTAAATTTTTTGTATGACAACTGGAGGATATGCGTAAAGCTCAGGCCATGGAGGATGACCTTGATAATCACATGAAGATTGAGCCATAAGTAATAGAACATTGTTAATTGCCAATGCACAAATATAGCACTTATGTTTGCAAACTTTTTATTCTTGGATCATTTCATGCATTAATGTGGCAGATTTGTTGTCAAACCACAAATCGAATCGTGAATCGTTTTGCTAAAATAGTGAATTGTGAATCGTAAGATTCATTTTATTTAATATGATATATATTACTATATATTTACATATATATAAAAACATATACAATGTTTAAAATAAAGTGAATTATCAATATGACTAAATTAATCTCTTCTATAAACACGTATATCAATATAACTAATTAATCTCTTCTATATATATTCATAGTTTGGCAAAAACGACCTTGTTTCATGCATTATGCAAACAAAAATAAAAATAGAACTGAATTGCAGTGATCGCAATGAATTATAGCGAATTGTAAATTGAATCGTACGATTCACTCAATTTCCGATTCAACAACACGATTCAAATTGTTTTTATTGAAACTCGTATCGAATCGTGAATCGTACAATTTTAACAGCCATGGTGGCAGATATGTAAATTAATCTATTTCATTTAGCTTTAACTACTGAAAGTGTTTCGTTCTAGTGTAATCTGTGCATTATTATGTCTTATTACTTTAATAGGTATAACTTTTCTGCAGTTGGATCAAGTGGACATCACATTTCCACAAGTTGCTACAGTGAATGCAGCAAAGGTAAAAAACCTGATATCTTATTCACACATTGAAAATGTGCAAGGTGTCCTTTTTAGCTTTTATATGTAATACCCATGCAGATAAACGGTTTTGTTGGATTTAGTTGTCAGTGGTGATTAACCTGATTACCAGATAATGCTATTACCTTAGTGAATTACATTTTGGAACGCAAGATCTGGTACATTTTTGTTTCAAAACGCTAAATTTAGTAATACGAAATGATCCCAAAAGTTTTTTTTTTTTTTTATTTCAATATATATTTCTTTGAAGGTTTCCTTGAGAGGGAAAAAAAAAAAATTCAAATATAATGAACTAAAATCTAAGGTGAGTAGAGTTTTGACATGACAAAATGTCAAAAATAGGTTATAATGCTCATATAGAAATGTGTTCCTACATGATTCATTTGGAAAGAAAGAAAGAAAGAAAGACAAAAAAACTACACTTAGGCCTTGTTTGTCATGTACTAAAAAAGTCAAAAAGTCACTATCCTATTTAAGTCATATCACCTTATTTAAGTCACATCACTTCTCTACCACATCACTTCAAACACAACCCATATTTCATAAAAAGTCAAAAAGTACACTTATTTAGAACATCCCAAACCACCCTTTAATTGGATGCCTAATTGTTAAATAGAAATTATTCTAGAAGTACCTTAAATTATGATAGTGTAATTTATACAAGTCTGCCTCTATTGTACACGACATTTCTGTTCCACATATCGGAACTATCTGCGATCTGGTAACATAGGATCAACCTCAAGGGCTATATAATTGTCTGGGAAGCTAGGCTTCCAAAGTGGTGGTCATGAGTTTGAAATTTCGGTCTTTGGGGCCAGCACCTACCTGAAGATATCCAGGTGTCTTCTGATGCATGTTGGTGACTTGGTGGTGACTTGGATATATGATTCAATAAACACAAAGCACCAATACCTGAATGCAATTCATATTAGGATCTGTGATATACCTCGTTCTGTTAAAGATCAGTATGTGTATCCTACCTTGTTCTGTTAAAGATCAGTATGTGTCTGTTCAATAGTTAATACGAATTACATTCAGATATTGATGCTTTATGTTTATTGAATCATATATCCAATATGTGGTCCTATTTAATTTAAGCCCTTTTCTCCTTTAATTTTCAAATTTTGAGTCTTTGTCCAGTTATGGATGGAATTGTTTTAAAGTGTATCTCCATACATATTCTATCTACCTTGTTCTAGTTTGAAGCTGGATTAGTTCTAAAACAATAATTTTAGCCGTTTGTTTTGTTTTCTATTTGCAGGAAAATTTAGATAGAAACCCTGGTGGGGATGTTTTCCCCTTCGGTAGAGACGTGAAGACAAGCAGCCAATCGGCACCACTTACTGCTGAGAAGAAATTTGATCCTGCTGAACAGATTAGACAAATGCGGCCAATCACACGGAAGATTCACTCTTATGTACTTCCAACACCAGTTGAACACCAGAGCCCAGTTTCCACAGGACCAGATACTCAAGCTTCAAGAGCAAAACGGACAAGTTTGAGTGGTGCTTCACTTAATTACAGGCATTCATCTCCTTTAGAACAGAGCAAGTACGAAAATATTTTTAGAAATGAGAAATTGTCAGGACCTATCGTTCAAAGTCAACCATCAGTACTCGGAGAGAGCAATAATAATAATACTACATCGACCAGCATACCCCCTCCTTTGACTGAGGAGCTCTCATCACAGCAGCACGATCAATATACTACTTCTGATACTAAAAAAATCAGAAGACAAGCTTTCTCTGGTCCGCTGACAGGTAAGTCGTGGTCGAACAAGCCAGGGTTATCTGCCAGCAATCCTATTGGCGGAACAGGACCGCCTAAGCTGTTTTCTGGACCTCTTTTGCGTACTCCAGTGACTCGGCCAACGTCAGATCCAAAATTATCTTCTGGTGCTTCCCCGACTCTTTTGTCATCACCTAAAATAAGTGAGCTTCATGAGCTTCCAAGACCCCCAACCAATTTAGCCTCCAAATCTTCTGGAAGACCTTCGAATCAAATTGGTTATTCAGGCCCACTGGTATCCAAACGTCAGGAGATACCGTCTGCAAATAAATTGGTATCAAGTGTGGCATCTCCGCTGCCAATACCCCCTTTGATGGTCCCTCGTAGTTTCTCTATACCGTCCAGTAGTCAACGAGTGAGTATGTCCATGCCATTGGGAGTACCACAAACTTTGAAGAAAGCTGAAGACATTGCTTCCCCTCCTCTGAAACCAATTTCCTTATTGAACATCCAGCCTGCATCAACTTCTTAAAAATTAGAGGTAATTAAGAAACCCGATGTCTATTTATATTATTTATTTTTCAAATTAGAACAATTTGTACTGAATCCTGTATGTTAGATTCTGTTTTATTGTTTAATATGGATTACACAATATATTGAACATCCTAAGGCTGAAATTTTAGTTACCATTCTTAAAGATCACAATGGTAGTGTTTGGAATCTGTAACACCTAACTAAGATTTGTGAAACACAAAACACAAAAGCGAACAAATGCACAAGAAAGATAAATCTAACACGCACACAAAGAACACAAGTTTTACATGTTCACCCCAAACTAGGGCTACGTCCACAATGCTGATGTTTTTAATATGACAGATCAACCAATTTTTGTTTGGGGGTGGGGGGTGGCTAAAATGTAGGATTTTTTTTATTTTTTTTTTCTGGCCTAGGAAGTTGAGCTCTTTACATTGAAGATTGAAAATTGTCAGTCTGGGTTGTTCCAGGTTGGAAATGCTTTAATGCTATAGGAAACTCACCATTCCGGTATTGCGTGAATAGGTATAACTACGTGAAGTTTGTGTTCTTTTTCATTTGACACCTATTTACTGGCAAAATAGTTTGATGAATGCGGGAATTATACCTTGAACCTATGGCACAGCTATTACTTCACAAGCTATCTATTGTCATTTTCTTTCGATACACAATTTGTGAACAAAGGCTATCTTGTACACTCAATATAGAAGATTTATAGGCGTAAAAAATTGAAATGTTTCTTGGATTTGCCTTGTTTGACACGTGTATGTTTTGGAATATCAGATTTTGTGCTCTGATGTCTACAAAACAGAGTTAGTATGAAAAATCCAATTAAAATGTACTATTTTGTACTCTTATGGAACAACACTACAATAAAAATTACCTTTGGGTTGAGGCCATGCCTACACACACACAAAAAAAAAAGAAGGTATTTGCAATGGCTCAATTGCTGTCTCAAATGATCAAATACTTGTGACTAATTATTTGAGATGGGGAGTTACTTCACAAATATCCATCATTTGCATCAAGTTTTATTCTTTTTTTGTCAGAACATCGATACTGAAGTATTGTGTCCTTATCCTGTAATAGACAAGATTAGTACTTTGTTGTAACCAAAATTTCTGTTGATTATGCTGTAACCACTCCTCAAATGCTTATATGTTTATTCAGCAGATTTATTCGTATTTGTGTTTATTTCTTAGACATGTAATTTCTAGTTCTGAGTGATTTATTATTTATTTTCAAATGAACACAGGTATACAGGTTGATCTAAGTCAATGCTCGTCCGGAAATGTTTTTGTTTAAGCAAAGATGTGGCTCTCATTATTAGGTACATTGTGCAGACCTGTAAATATGTTTTTCTTCCATTTTTGTATTGTAATCTTTGTCCATTTAGGTATTAATCATGACGAGCAACGTCATAGAAAGCATTATATTACTAAAGTCTCTTCCCTCAGAGGAGGAATTTTGTCCCAATTTTCTAATTAATTTTTTTTTTTTTTTCTTTTCAAATTCACTAATTTTACTCGATAATTTGATGCATGTTGACAAGGCAGTTGGTCAGAGGGCCTATTCTTATTAGTGACAAGGCTAAAACCGTGTGTACGTTATGCTCTTGCATTTCATTTTCAGATCTTCCCTTAAAAACAGATTGATAAACACTAGATAAGCTACAATTTTGTTTTTTCTATTTTTGAAATAAGTTGATTTGCCTCCACCTTTAACCTCCAAATCCTAATCCTACCCTCACCCTCACCCAACCACAAACTCTGGCCACTCTACCCTGCCCCTCACCAGCTCCGCCCTCCAACCCCTTCCCAGCTCTAGTTGCAACCCTTGGCCCATGCTGCCCCCGCACCTTTCGGTGCCACCCCAACCCTACTCACCATGCAATCACCTCTGCAACCCACACACACACACACACACACACACACTCACATATATATATATATATAGAGAGAGTGAGAGAGAGAGAGAGAGAGAGGGTGGATGGCCAGGGGATCATGGAGAGGGGCAGGGAGGGCTGGGAGGTGGCAGTTCGAGCTTGAGAGGGCAGGGGAGGATAGTTGGAGCTTGAGGTAGTTGTCGGGACTTCTTGGTGGGTGCGGTTAGATAAGGTAAGGGTTAATTTTGATATCAAATTTTTTTCAAAATTTAAAATTTATTGGTGAGATCCAAATAAATGGGTGTAAAGAAATACAGTCCCTCTTTCTTATGCTTTGTAATGTTTGTTCCCAACACTTGCATTCACCAAAGTCATTGTGGGTTGTTTAACAAGTACCCAAAATTCATGGCTTGCACAAAAAAAAAAAAAAAAAAACCACAAGAAGATTCTTGAGAGCATTAAAGTTTGTCTATCTATTTCTATATGGTACAATAACATTCTTAAATTAAAAACAGCCCAGCATATCCATTAGTGGCAGCATATGTATAAAATGTATTTATATTATGGTATATATTACAACTAAGACACGACATGGAGTTGAGAATCTCCACTTGATTCATCATATATAAGGAAGCTTTCCCACTTACATATTATAAGTTAGAAAAACAAAATATTTTTCTTTTTTGGCAAAAGCAAAGGGTGGCCTCTTCTCTGGCATCAAGCCTCAGTTGCAGCCTCCTACGTCGTATCTCACAAATCCCATTAGCTCTGGTCCTTCTAGTCTCGGGTTATTTATAAAACTGCATCCAAACATAAAACATAAAACGAATGTTAAGAAAACAAAAAAAAGAGGGTGAAGCACATCTAGTTAGAGCAAAATTTCATTTTAATTTATGTAATTTTAATTTTATTAATTTAAATTCTACATTTTCAATTATGTTTGAATATGGCTTATCCATATCCAAAATGTCAATGACAACTTGCAGATAGATTATGTTGAAATAAGATTGAAAGTATAGAGTTTAAATTGTTGAAATAGAAATTACAAAGACTAAAATGAAGTTTTGTTCAAATTAAAAGGACCGATGGTGTAATTTATTCCAAAAAAAAAAAGAAGAAAAAAATGTGAAGTGGATCATGATGGAATGGTAAATGAGACAGTGACCAACCTTGCTTCTGTGAACTTAGAAAACGAGCCCGAAGTTGGAATGGTACCACACAAATCGTTGTTTGATGCATCCCTGCAAAGAGCAAATTTTATACGAGGTGAAGTTAAAAAAAGAATCATTTTAGGAATAACAATATTTTACTATCACATAAATCAATCACAAAATCAGACATAATTATAATTTATATAAAAAAAAGAAGAAAAAAAAAGAAGAAGGTGAAACTCACCTCAAGTGAAATAGTACTGTGTCTAATTCAATAATCAAATTACGTGTTAATAAATAATTTTTAATAAATATATAAGAGGGGGTGTAGAGTAGAGTAGAGTAGAGTAGAGTGAAGTTACAAGATCTTGAGGTTGCCAAGCTTGGTAAGTTGTCTGGGTATTCTTCCTGTCAGCCTGTTGCTGTTTAATCTCCTGCATTTTTACATTACATTACGTGACGTGAGCCACCACCACCCATACTCCATACACACAGGCATGCATCATTACGTATATCACTATTACTATAATTTCACCCAAACTTCACATCTCTATCTATATATATTATGTGTGTGTAACTCAAAAAAAAATATAATAATATAAGAATAATGATAAAAAAAAATGTACATACAGTATGTTAGTATGTGTTGTTCAAATAATAAAGATTTTCTTTTCCAAATTCATGATATCGATTTTAAGTCGTTTCCTTCTCTTAATATAATTTTTACATAAACATCAACTATAAAAGTATTTTAAGAAGACCTAAAATATGAGACACGCTGTATCAATATTATCTTAAGACCTTACATATATAATAGTATATATAGGTACAAAGTCTTATTAGATATGTAATGGAGATTATCAAAGTCCTTCCTAGTTGTGGGTACGAATGCAATTTATTTGTAATTTTTTTAGTTAAATTATTGAATAATTTAATGATTTAAGTGGGGGTATTGATAAATGAAAAAAATCATTTTGAATAGTTTGATGAATGAAAAAAATGGACCACAGATGCAACAATATGTATTTCACGACTATTTAATAACTGCTCTACAAAATACACTAGCGGGATGAATGCAATGTTAGAAAAGTACAACTTATATGATACAATAATAACAAGAAAAAATTTAGAAATACATAAATCAATCATAAAATTAAATATAATTCTCGTAAACGATGTGAGTTTAACATTTCATGTAAGAAAATTGTAATTGATTTGTGATTAATTTTTGTTTAGGTACAAGAAATGCAACAACATGGTGGAATCAAGTGTGATGAGGTGGCAGAGAATAAATACATAGAGGGCAATACTATAAAAAGTTAATGTGCTTACAGAAATCTGAGATTGGAGAGCTTGGATAGTGATGGAGGAATAGGTCCAGTAAGGTTATTGTGGTAAAGATCCAAGCTCACTAGGCTCTTTAACCCTCCTAGTTCTTCTGGTATTGGCCCCACCAACTTATTCATGTACAGTTCCCTGTGCATTACACCCACAGCATACCAACCAAATTTAATTTTATTAATGCTGGTAAGTGAAAATAAAAATAAAATTTAAGTCCCAAACATTTAATCAGCTTCCATGATCTGACTGCCTGATGGGGTAGGTAAAGATAAATCATAATTGGGTTCAGATTTTCTCTTCCCAAATAAAAAGTAATAAATTCTACTTCCTTATCAATGTGACAGCTATTAATATTATTAAAATAATAAATCCTATTTTCTTATTAATGTGACAGCTATTAATATTATTAAAACATGATCTATTTAAAATTTTATCATTAATAAAAGAGTTTGTTAGTTTGTGTAATATTTTTTTTTTTCCAAAATAAACATATGTTTTTAATACTGTAAAATGAATCAAGTTAAAAAATCATTTGAAATTAACTCGTTAAGTTAAAAAAACTAGATTTAAACATATTTTAAATTTATTAAGTTTACAAAATTAAATTTAAATAATTTATTACTTGACTAATAAATTTTATATATACTATAAAAAAAATTAAGTAACTTGAATTTAACTTGTATTCGGTCTATTAAAAACTTATTTGACTTGAATTTATTACATAAGTAAGTCAAACTTAAACATATTTTAAAATTTATTAATTTTTTAAATAACTTATTGCTCGACTCTATTCATTTATTGTCCTACGTGCCTCTCTCTATTTCATTACTTATAATAACACAATCTTTTTTATAAAAAAAATTAAACTTAATTAAAAAATAAAAAATTCAGTGGACACACTTACAGATAGTGAAGACGTTCAAGCTTGCCTAACTCGGGAACAAGATTGCCCGACAGCTTTGCATTTCCAAGGTCCCTGCATGCATGGGATGATTAGAGTAATTGTAAATATATTAATTTATTTTTTATAAAAAAAAATATTGTGCATCTAAAAACAACAAAATATGGACCAAACTTAGAACATTCAACATCCTCATTCAAATAATAATTCACAAAACAGTGTATTATTATAAAAACTAATTTTATTTATTTGTATATTAGTAGACCGAATGAACTATCACATCATGGGTATGGGTATGGGTATGGGTATGGGTATGGATATGGATATGGATATGGATATGGGTGGCTTTAATTACTTTTTATTTTTGTTTTTTGAGAACAGTACTTTTCATTTTTGTTGGTATTGTGGCAGGTAGCAGCTTTCGATGGCCACTTGTGTAGTTGGAAAATTATAGTGGGGTTTTGGGACAAATTTATCTCAACTTTTTTTATCTCAACTTGATGTGAGAGTAGTTAAAGTTGTGAGAGTTAAAGTAGTTAAAGTTGTTTATTAGAGTAGTTAAAGTTGTGAGAGTTAATATTTTTTATTAGAATTTTAGAAAATTAATTGATAAGTGTTAAGTGATAAATAGTGTAAAATAATATTATAAGATTATTAAATAATTTCTCGTCTAATCTATATATTAATCAAGATAAAGTAGTAAAAAATGTTATTCTTACAATTATATAAATTTCTTATTTTTATAAATAATACCATGTATATATCATTGTTTTAGATAATATAACGGTCACGATAAAATTATATATATATATATATATATATATCAATGAATATTATTATCAAAAATTTAAAATCTACATACATGTTGACAGATACATATAATACATATTGATTGCTATTTAAAACTTGATATATAAAAAAAAATGGCAAATTATAAACACCCCTCGAGGTTTGATAAAAATACAGATTTCCCCTGAGGTTTGAGAAATTACAAATTACCCCCTGAGGGTCAAATTTTCATAACAAATTAGATACAGATTCCCCTGAGGTTTGAGAAATTACAAATTGCCCCCTGAGGGTCAAATTTTCATAACAAATTAGGAAAAATTAGGGGAGAATCTGTATGAAAATAAAAACCTCAGGGGACAATTTGTTATGAAAATATAAACCTCAGGGGGCGAGATGTAATTTCTCAAACCTCAGGGGAATCTGTATTTTCACTAAACCTCAAGGGGAGTGTTTGTAATTTGCCCATAAAAAATCATAATAAAGATAATACATATAAAATCAATGATGCAATTCAATATAAACTAGGGTATTTTAGACATTTCAAATATAGGTAAAAGTTTGTAAATTAATTTAAAGTTTGTAAATTAATTTCAAATTAGAGTAATCATATACAAAAATAATAATCATATACAAAAATAATATTCATACAAAATTTCTATATATAATGATTTAGTTTAATATAAACATTTCATTTTAAGTCAAGATAACTGCCTGTGTTTGGCAAGTGGGTTTGCAGGCTTTTTTGGCTATTTTAGCCACAAAAAACAAAATAGGCTATTTTAGCCCTAACAAACAAAACATCACATCCAACCCATAATCATTACATTCTTCTCTCACAAAAAAACTCAAAAAAGCCAAAAAGCCAAAAAGCCCTTCCCAAACCAAGCTTTTAAGCCCGGGCTAAAATAGCCAAAAAAGCCAAAAAGCCAAAAAGCCAACCCACTTCCCAAACGGAGGCAAAGTTAACTTTTATTTACAAAAATATTTGGAACATCACTCTCATAGTATTTTGTGAATAAATATTTCCTTCCAATTAACAGTTGAGAAATCAGTTACAAAATTAAACACAACTATCTCATATAGTCACAACAAATAAAACTCACTATATGTAGGAAGATTGCGTCTGATTTTGTAAATTATTTATGTATAATTAATCTTTTTCTGAAATTAATAAGCAAGCATATACCACTTAACTCCACTAATAAAAGGTGGTACAAGTCTTAAATACAGCAACAAAGAATGAGAGAGAGAGAGAGAGAGAGAGAGATGACATACAAGCGGGTGACCCGATTATCAGAGTCACAAGTAACGTGAAACCAAGTACATGGATCCACCAGGGTCGGGTCCCAACTCTGCAAGACATTGTTCGGGTCATTCACAGCTCTCCTCAATGCATACAGAGCATCACCTTCAAAAATATATAAATAAAAAACATTCAAAACATAATCAAATGTATTCTCAAAGTACCCAGATCTCTGAAATTACTTTGAAGAAGCTTTACCTTCTTGATTTGAAGTAGATGGTGTTGATGATACTAGTAGAAGAAGAACAAAAAGATGTAACAAAGTCCAGATCTCCATTTCAAAAACCTTTGAAAAGTTGCAGTTGAAAAACTTGAAAGAGTTTAGCCACTCAAGAGTTAAGCTTTGTCCAGATACTATAACAGGGAGAGAGAGAAGTCTACTTTGTTTCTTTAAGGCAAGGAGGGCAAGGAGGGCAAGGAATCTAAGCTTTGTTGGGGAATTTATAGAGCCCATAAAAGGACTACTGAGCAATCCACTATTTCAAGTTTTAAAATATTCCCTGGTCCCATTTTTATTTTTTATTTTTAATAATGTTATTAACATAAAATGAATTATAAAATAGTTTACAGAAAGAAATATATACAATGGGTGGGTGTGATCAAGCCTATTTTGTTTTCGACAAATGTTAGGGAGTATTTTTTTTTAAAAAAATACTTAAAAATAAGTTCAAAACAAAAAAAATTTAAATTTGCATTCTTTTAGCCTTAATACTGGTCTTAAACTAGGCAATCAATGATAAATGATAAGACAAATGTCAATTTATTCTTTGTCGGAAAGTTTATTTTATATGTTTTAAGTTATCTAATGAGTTCAATCTATATGTTTTTGGCACACAGTTACTTGGTTTAGAGAAAAGGGGATGTCATGTTCTCCCTACACATTATGTTTGATTTATTAAATAATTCTATGAGAAACATGTTTGCCTTTGAGATATTATTTAATGCTCTTGAAATAAGTTAGGATTGTACGCGAATTAATAGTTACTGCAATAGATTTATGAATTATGTGCAAAACCCTGTAGTGAAAAAAAAATAATATTGAATGTGGGAGAAAATCACACTTCTCTACGTTGCAGTGTCGGTGTTTTATATCTGTTGTTGGAGACAGGAGTAACCCTATACAAAATTTTACAAACATTGAATCATATATATATATATATTATATAGAGAAATATGTTAATTACCTAGAAATTTGCATTGGTCGTATATATATTCAAAAAAAATTTAAGACCACAAAAATGATGATGGTGATAATGGTAACATCTTTTGTTTATAATTTATAAGGTAGTGATAATTTAAATAAATTGAAAAGAATAATTATTAATAAACTAGAGAAGTGATGTTTGTAATTTTTATTTTTTAATTATTAACCTATAATAAAACACTATGCTAAACAAGCCAATAAGTATAGTGGTTGCCGTGACGGTGGTAGGGTAGCCAAGATGGATATTGGTGCTGAGTAATTTTATGATGAAACAAAATGTATACTTGTTAATTTAAGAGAATAAATAAGCAGTTCCAACTTTTGTTAGTATTTTCATTTACACACGTCATTCAAACAAGAAAAAAGAATGATAAATTATCTGTATTCTGACGATTTGATCTAGAAAAAATTATTTGGTAGTCCAAAAATACCAACTATAATGTTCATCACCAATCACCAAACACCATGGCCCCTGTTGTTCTCTTATGACCAAACACAAAATTATAAATTCCATCTCTTCCACCAATCACAACACTCTTGAGGTATCACATGACTATGTCTCTGTCACGACCCAAACTCGCCCCTATGGGTTTAGCACCGTAACCGGCCAGTAATCCAAGATTACCAAAGGCCTGCTTAACAGTAATACAGAGTACAGGGGCATGGCGGAAGCTAAAACAGTAAATAAACAATGTCCAATGAGCTGTGACAGTCTGTATGCCAAAAAGACTTTCATACACATATACATGAACAGTACAGAACAGTATGTACATATATACAATTATTCAGTTCAGGGATCTAATCCCTATTAAACAGTATAGCACAGTAAACAAAATGGTTACAGAGACAGAAGGGGGGAACTAAAGCACCCCTAAGCCAAAACTTGACAGGCTCGGAACCTCGCAGTGAGGCACATAGGTTGGCTCGACAAAACTGGAGTTTACCCCGACGCTTTTAGCTACGGTCTGGTGCCTGTACACCTACATATATATATGAGCAGTGAGCTAAAGCCCAGTGAATAATGTAATGCGTAAAGAGGTTATGAATGAATGTCCTTACAGTAATGAAAACAGTTCGTTAATTCAGTATATCAGTCATTCAGTCATATGTAGTACATCCATTAGCATAACAGTACAGTAAACAGTAGGTCTTAAAAGACCGAACAGTAAATGATGGCCATCAATCAGTAACAGTAGTGGTTCCAACAAGGGAACCGACAGAGATCTCTGTAACAGTAGCAGTAAACAGTAGTTGCTAAGGATGCCACAATACAGTTCAGAATATAGGACACACATTCATTCAATTAACAGTAGCAGTTCAGAAAGCAGTACAGTTCATATGTTCAGAAGATAATCATTTTGAACATATCTTTACACAGTCGTTACTCACAGAGTTCTGGGCTACAGTAAAGCTAGAGCACGTCCCCAGTCGCCAACCCTACACAGTTACAGATTGAACACACACTAAGCTACACAGTTGGGAAAGATAATAACTTAATCCTTAATTTGCCTCGGTGTGTTCTACATCTATCCTCGTTAAGATGCCTTAAACTAGGCCTAAGAATGCCTAGGATGGGATGAGGATGCAAAGATGCACTTTAAAAGTATTTTCAGAATTTTCAGAAAACAGGGGTCACGCTCGAGCGTAGGTTACTCCGCTCGAGCGGTCATGCAGACAAAGGTTTCCGCTCGAGCGTAGACTTACCCGCTCGAGCGTTCTACAAACAGTCAAAAGTGCTGGATAGGTGAAAATCACGCTCGATTGGGCACTCGACACCTGCTCGAGCACGAGACACAAAGTCCCGCTCGAGCATCAATTATTCCGCTCGAGCGGACTTCAAAACAGTGCAAAGTACTGAGAGCACGAATTTCACGCTCGAGCGCCAGTCACCCCGCTCGAGCGTGAGTTCAAAATATGGAATTCCCAGATTTGAACCTCAAGCTCAAATTCAACTTTTAAAACATAAGTTTCGATGCTCTTGGGCTAGTTTGCTGGAAAACACATCAAAACTCATAGTTTAACATGATTCAAAGCTCAATTGTAAAATCAAAGCCCCAAAAGGAAGATCAATTCAACTCAATTTGAAACCAATTTTTATGAACATAAATCAAACATAACATGTATGAATTTAAACCATTTCAAAGCTTCAATTTCATGCTCTAATGAGCCAATTCTTTCAAAGACAAGGTGAAAACATGGTTTATGATCAAAACATGGACATGCATGTGGCAAATTCATGAAGAACAAGCTCTAAAATGCAAGAGTATGCCATGCATGCAATGATTAAGCTTCAATTCAACACTTTTGAACCAATTCATGACTTAACTCTTTAATTTACCATGATCCATACTAGAAAGAACTTAAATACACAATTAAGAGAAGGAAATTCATACCTAGGTTCCTCAATTACAAGTCTAGAGGCTCAAATATGCACTTAAGCTTTCAATTCTTCAAGATTCAAGCCAAATCTCTATGTTGAATTCACTACTCTCACTATCACTCTCTCTTGGTCGGCTAGCAAGGACAAAGGGGCTGAGGAAATGTTTTTTGTTTGAGTGTAATAAGGCTCAAAGATGTCCTAGGTAGTGGCCCACTCACAATGACAATTTGGTAGATAAAGCAACCTATGTGTTTTACATTCTTTAATTTAATTTAATCATACTGAATCACATTTTAACTGAATATGCCATAAAATCACATTAATTCCAATGATCTCAAAACATCAATCAATTTCAGATTCGGCCGCCGATAAGGCCTTCAATTCGCAATTTAAACACAAAGGCATGAACAGATAATCAAACAGTCAACAGATAGACATACAATTAAACAGATATACTTAATCAATTCAGTTCCAGATTTCAGCCAATCAGTTCAGTACTTCAATCAATTCAGTTACCAATCATAATCAGTCTCAGTTTAGCAGTAATCGGTGGTTAATCGGTAAACAGTGACGAGGGTTGTTACAGTCTCAAATCCACCAAATAACTTCTTAGGAATTGGACTCTTCAGGCTTTATGGGCCCTATTACAAAACCCGTTTTAATGATCAAATTCATTCATCCTTTAAGCTTTTGTATGTGAATCATCTATGAAAAAATTAAATTTTTTCGATAATAGTAATCTTATGATTCCCATCTCAGCAGAGCAGCCGTCAACCTCGGCTCCATATCTGATCTCTCCATCTCAACGCCATCGACGACACCGAACTGCTTTTGCTACTGAGATGGGCCACCAGAAAGCAGTTGCTAAGGATCTTCTGGCCAATATTCTTGACTCAGTTGATGCTCAACCAGCACCAACCCAGCCAAAGCCAAAACAAAAAAGGATAAAAAAGGCTCAGCCAAAGGCAACGGTGACTCAGGTTGATACTGAGGACACCTTGCCAATCTCCAAATTGGCTGAGAGCGATAAGTCCCATTCTACCGCTGAGAAGAGGCCCGCTGAGGCCCAACCGTCCGAATCCACTCGGTTAAAGAGGCCGAGGTCTGAATTTGCAACAACTTCAGGCTCCATGAAGTTTGGTTCCCCTTGGGCCCCCCAAATTACACTAGAGGACAGGCCCGTCAGAGTTGGCGATAGTGCCGATGACGTTAATGTCGGTGTCGCTCTTAGTACCGCTTTGTACCGCCTTGGAGATCTCTACCGAAACGCCGAGATGAGCGAGTATGAAAACTTTGCTCTGATGCTCCAGCGCTCTATTCAAGTAAGTCTTCACACTTGGTGTCTTTCTTTTCTTTTTTACACTTAGAAATTTTTTCTAATAACTTTTGTTTTGTCTATTTTCTTTAGGCAATCCAGCACGCTCATTCCTTCTCAATGCAATCTTTTGAGAGAAGGAAGGCGTTGGCTGACAAGACTAGGGAGGCTACTAGTCTGCAGAAGACCAACAAAAACTTGCAATCCAAAATGAAGACTCTGGCAGATCAGGTCGAGGTTGCTGTCAAAGCCAAAGATATGGCCGAGGAAAAGGCAGAGGCTGCTGATGCCATAAAAATGGTTCTTGAGGCCCAGAGAAAAGAGGCCGAGGAAAAGACGGCTGAGGCCCAAAAGGAACTCCAAGACATCTTGGCCACCAAAGATCCTGAGCTCAAGACCGCCGATGAGAAGGGATACAATAAGAGGGTGGCCGATGTCACGGTGGATTATGAGAAATAGGTTAAGCAAGCATGCAACAAGGGGTTCACCCTTGGTTGGATGACTTTGTTGAAAAAGCTTGAA